CCCTGCTACCAAAAGACTAGCTCTTTGCTTTTCCACCCCCGACTTACAACTCTGTCACCATTTCTAGGCCCCTGAAGTAGGGGCAGACAGCATCTGGTGGAGTTTGGAGCTGACTCACAGCAGCTGGAGTACATGGAAATTTGGGAAGATCAGCATTTGGCACTGCACTGAGGACAGAATTCTGAACTTGGACACAGCTTCTGCTACCAGGCTTCATTGAGGATACATTTAATTGTGTGTTCCCGAGTTCCCCAGTAGATTGGAGTATGTCCCCTGCAATCCACTGAGATGGGAATGTATTTCAGCAGTTCCCAATACCTGTTAAAGTCAAGCCTTTAAAGCTGTATCAGGGTGCTTGATCACCCAGCTGGCTGCAAGGGCAGGATCCGTCTCAGCTATCTTCAGCCATCTCAGTGAGCCGGGTAGGCTCCCCCTGTAGTAAGTGGAGGAAGATAGGCATCTGCAGAGAGTAATCCATCCCACCTCTCTCCTTCTGTTAAGAGGAGCCCAGATAAGGAGATCAGAGCAGACACATTACTTCTGTATGGCTGGAGTTAGACAAGATGAATTCCACCCTCTGTGTCCAAAGCACTAACATATGTAGTTTCTCATTACTTACCACAGTTGCAACGCCTGTTACTCATTGATTTAGAAACAGATTTTCTTGGTGCTATTTCCTTTTCTTTGTGCAAAACTTTCATTATGCAGTTTTTGCACCCTAGCACTCAGGAACATAAGTGACAAGACATTTCCTCTACAGACCCACAAGTACACCTGCAGACCAGGAGCTCTGTGCATCTTGAGTCCCTCTGAGCCCACCTGAGCAGCAGTGTAAAACCCCCAGTGATGCAAAAAAGATCAAGCAGAGGCTGTTTTTAAATTGGCTCTCCAAGGGCCCCAAATTCCCATGCTTTGCTTCAGGTCACTTGGGTTTCACTTGCTTCGAATCATTTTGGAACAGTACCTAAGAGGCCAGCATTGCTTCTGTGAAACAATGCTGCTTGGGGACCAAACATCTACGACCATGCTGCCAACATTCGTCCCTGAAACGTGCCTCATAGAATGATCTGGGTTGGAAGGGACCTTAAAGCTCATCCAGTTCCAACCCCCTGCCACAGGCAGGGACACCTTCCACTAGACCAGGTTGCTCCAAGCCCCGTCTAACCTGGCCTTGAACACTGCCAGGGATGGGACAGCCATAGCTTCTATGGGCATCCTGTTCCATTGCCTCATAGATGCAGTATTTCATCTGCAAAGGTATACTTGAATGTATTGATTTTTCAGCCTCCCTGCAGGGCAGACAGACAGTGCAACCCTTCCTTGCTTCCAGCCCTTGGCCATCCCAGCAATACCATAATCCAATAATCCAGCCTCCAACTGTTTCCAAGAGGGGGTGTGGAGGAAGACAGGTCCTGGGCTGCGGTATCTCCATAGTGCTGCACGCTCTCAGCATGGTGGTACCTCGTACCACTGCATGCCTCACATGCCGAAACACACAACACCCATGGTCTGGGTAACAAGGGCGTGAGTCAAATGGGGCTAGTTATGAGCTTGGATTCTACCATTCAGAGATAAGCTTCTCCATGGTTACCAGTCTCATGCAAGGTCACTCTCCTGCCAAACCCCCTCTCCTCCCCTCCTCCCTGTCTCCCTCTCCTTCCACCTCCACTATTTATTTTTTTTCCCAAACACACTACATCAAAAGAGAAAATGAAAACATTTAGGATAATCACAGTCTGGCTATTTTAATGCAGGCGGTAGGAAAGGGAACATGTAAGCCAAGTGCTTTCACTGTGCAAGCAGAAACACACTCTCAACCTCATAAAAGTGGTATCTGAGAAATAACACTTGATTAAAGCGGCCAGTCCTTCACTTAAGTAGGTGCTTATGGTAGGGAAAATATCCAAGGTTTCTCTAGAACAGGCTGCTGGCCTATCATAGAAAGCAAAGAACAGGCCAGGCAGATGAATTATTGCAATACAGCTGGTTTCAGCTGGGCTACGAGGAGATCCCTATTATCCCATCCACCTTTCTTACACAAATGCCTCTCCCCAGAGAACCCGAGTCATTAAAAGCCAGCTCATTTGCCCCTGCCAGGCAATATGCATTGAGTGAGAGGTGATACATTTTCATTTTCAGCAAGAAATCTCAGTCGCCCCAAGGAGCAGCTAGCTCCAGAGAGCGGTAATGGAATACGAGGGCTTTCATCTCTGCCTTGCTGCCACAAGCATGGCCTGGCTCAGTAGCAACCCAAAACTTGTTAGCTAATGGGTTGTTTCAGTGACCTCCGTGGAATGAGTTCAGTGGGTTTGGGCTGGTTTTCAGCAGACATTAACTAGAACCACAAGTGGTGTTAAACAGAAACTGTATTAACTGGTTGAATGCATGGCAAGTAAGGACCGAGTGAAGCACCCATGTGTAGCCGTGCCATTGCTTTCCCTACCCTTTGGGGCCATGCATGATAAACCAGCAACAAAAAAACATCTTATCAACCATTTCACATTCTTTAGGAGCTCAACAGTATCTACTAGGCACTGCTCCGAGTTGGAAATACCACAAACTTGAGCTACCAAAGAGCTTTCCAAAGACTGTGCCCTGCAGTTCAGCCTTGCTGAAATGTGCTTTAAAGTGCATTCTGCAATGGTAGAATTCCCTTTTTGTAAGTAATTCCTCATTTTAACACATTTAGTGAATGGGGAACAATGCTACATCTCTCCAGGAAAACAAACCACCGCCATCCCTCTTTACTTTTTTCCTGTTCAATGCAGCCTGCAGCCTCAGGCTGAGCTATGCCTGTGACAATGATGGCCTATGGAGTCCAGAATAATGCACCATTAGAAAAGCTTGCTCCCAGGTAAAAAGCAGAATTCACCCTTAAGTGAAAGTGGCTTGAATCCTTACACCACTCCTCCAACATACCCTGGCAATAATATATGCCATGCCACTTCCTCTGCCGCACTTCCACTAAAGACTCACTAAATAGTTACAATTTGAAATCCCAGAAGAAATCTTCAGTGAGGAGCTACCTTTCATGTGTTACAGCCTGCACAAGTTGCAGCACATCACAGACAAGCCTGTTCACATCACATTGCATGGCTAGATATGTATCTCTAAATAAGACATCCACCAACTGCTTAGATAAGAGATTCACTGGGGACCCATTCCCATAAGGGAATGGATGTAAAGCAGGCAACAAGCTGCTATCACAGCCCTGAGGATGCCCTTGTTATTTGCTTTGCCTTTAAATTGCACAGGAATCCCCAAATTCTGAAAGAAAAGGGTGAGAGGGTAAAAAAAGGCATTGCAGAGAGAACCAAGGCAGGACAGGTATGGCTTATGCATAGATGGTATTTCTTCTGTTGTCAGTAACATTCAGCATTAGAGATGGACATTTTATACAAATGTCATGAACATCCAAACCCATCATGCCTTCTGTTTCAGAAGGGATCATTAGGCCTCTTACCTGATACTTTAAATGTATCACTATCAGTAGCTGATGTGTTTCCTTCTCTAACACAGCTGACACTGGTAACTGTCAGACAGACCCTCAGGTCTGACCCTATGTTCCTATATTTCCTTATATTGCTCTGCCCAAATATCTCCCACGTCCCATGTTCTTTTTGGAACTTACTTTTGTTATTTAGGGAGCAAAGGAAAGTTGATAAAGGAGATACTGGCACACCAACTTCTGGGCAATAGGCAGTATCTGTTCAGCACTTATAAAAGAGCAAAGCACAGCCTGAAAATACTCGAGCACGTCTCCACAGACTTCTCAACCATTCAGACCCGTCTTCCCCTGAGGAACATTAACTAAGGAAAGCTACTGCTTTACAGCTGAAGCTGAAGTGAGCTAGGGACCAACCAAGTACAGACGGAGCAACTTTCCTCAGCCTGGGACTGAACTGAAGCCCAAGGCACATAGTATCACTGTGATGGCGTATTTTCATTATTACAGGATTAAAACTTAACAAATAAATAAATAAGTACCTATATCAAAAGAACAACAAAACACAATTACCCGAGCAGCCCAATTCTCCACAACAGCAGTGATGATTTAGTGTAAATAAATTTTGCACATCCCCAGGTATTTTTCCCCACAAGAGTCCAAGTTCTTTGCAGCAGCTTCATTTCAAGTATGTATGTGTGTCTACGTACAAATACATATTAATTTTTGAGTTCTATCCTTTTCTCCTCCCTTTGTTATTTTATTTTCATGAGGCAGGAGAGCTGTGCCTGGTACTGACAAAACTCTTGGTATGCTACTGAAATGCAAATTCCCCAGCCTTGCATTTTCTGCTGATAACCAGCTCATCAATTGCAACAAAAGCAGTGATTCGAACTTTGCCTTTTAGTGGTCTCACTGATCACACCAAGGAAGTCAAAGTTATCTGCCCCAACTCATATAGCATTATCTTTTAAACTTAATGGAAGTGAAAGAGAAGCCCGTGCTCATTACCCAAAGGATGTAATTATTACTTCCTCTCTATACTGTTGCTAGTCAAGAATAAATTCCAGGATATGACCTCTTCATTAAGCATTAAGCCAAAATCCACCTGGGACAGCCTAAGGAGGCTACCCTTATCCTTTCACTCAGTAATTCAGAGAAAAGGCCCTTGCCACATAGAGCTGAAAGGAATCCTTGCAAAAGATCCTTTCAAGGAAACAGCTAATAAATGTTAATCAATAGATGAAGCCCAAAAAGCTTTCTGTCTCCTCCTGCATGATCCCACTACAAAAAAAAGCATCACTAATATAACACATTGAGCCTCTTCCAAATACCATGCTTTGTGTACAGTGTAAGTTCATAAAAAAGATGATAAATTCAGAATATGAGTGACAGAATGTATTAGTACAGTGAAGTCTTCAATAGAAAACTGAAATCTAGGAGAAGAATGCATAGTAGTGTTGAATTCCTTATATTTCTTGCTTTGTTATGGCAATAATAATGTGCCTTTTGAAGTTCATACAGGCAGATACAATGCCAAAAGGCAAATACTTACAATACAAGAGCACTTGGTACATTTATTTCCTTCAGGCCTAAATTCTTCTCCTTCATTGTAAAGTCTCCCTTCAAATATACAACCTAGAAAATAGCATTTGGATAAGTTTAGCTCAGGATAGCACACTGCCTTTTCTCTGTAACAATACTCTATAACCCTATCATAGGACAATACGAAAAGTAAATCATACCACCCTCTCTGACACAAATACTTCAGAAGCCTTTACAAAAGCCTTGAGAACCCCCAGATGTCTTTTTGGGGAAAGAAAACATTCTTCTACAGCGGACAAATTTGCACCAATGAAGTCAAGACTAAGTCAGCTCTCCCACTGAAAGTGGCTTTAAAACACTTTTCCAAGTTGTTTATCTTTTACTACTCGTTCTTACCTCCAAGCTTATGTTATATGTTGGCAGAAATTATAACTGATTAGAATATAATAAGCCCATTGTATCATAAGTGGAGAAGTGCTTACCTACAAAGCCTCTGATTAGCCTATAGGTAGCAACTAGCCTCACAAAGGTAGTCTTCTTTTTCAGGATTACTCTTACACTTTCCCTCCTAACACAACCCCAGCCATCAGCCAGGAAAATCCAACTGACAGACCCTCTGAAAAACAACATAAATACACCTGTGGATACTGACACAAGCTACTGCCTATGCAATAGTCTGCCTCTGCTCCACTAAAAGATATTAAGCCTGGTCTGTCATTTAATGGATTGCAAGCCATTGGCCTCTGTTTTTGTCAAGTATAATGGAGAAGTTAGAGGCAGTCTCCCAGATAATGATGCTTATCATTAGAAATACAGTTGCACATGTGGAACAGCATCTTCCTATGAAATCTCACCTGGACACACAGGGCAACATATTCCCATGAGTTTGGTAGGATTTTTGCAAGGGGCAACACAGTGTACCTCCGACTCTACTATCACTCCTTCCTGAAAAAGAAGCAGATCAGACATGTTCATTGTTTGCGTTGAGGTTGCTTTAACAAGCAAAAATCCACTACTCCTAGTGGTACAAATAAAGCCCAGCACATGCCACAAAGCACTGGATTTCAAAACCTCTTTTCTTTCTGTACCTGCTGCCTTGTATCAGGAATTCAGGTTAATCCACAGTCAAAAGATCCACTTGAGTCTCTCTGACTCCAGTCACAGGATTTGCCTTAAAATGGAACAGGTAAGAAACCAAGCGCCTTCTTAGGAAAAGGAATCCCGCTTTATCAGGAATCCTCAGGCTCAATAATCTGCCATGCAGCTCTGGTGAACACAGGCCAAACACTAGGCATTCTCGTCCCTCTCCCCTTGGAGTTAAAAAGACCTAGAAAGCAGATAAAAGCATCTTGCTCTGTAGAGGGGAGACGCTTATCTTTAATGCTTTGCCTGATAAGTATTAGCAAATTAACATTTCCTGTACTCCTTGCTGGAGAAGTCAAGAGTCCTCCTGAACAAATCTGGGTGTGAGGATCTGTGTACAAAAGGCTGCTATTTTCTTGTTTTGCAGTTGAAGCCAAAGGAACTGTGTGGATCAAGGGTAAACACCATCACCCAGTTTTGCATTTAGGCACTGAAACAGGCAATAAAGAATTGCTCATTTCATGTAATTAGTAGTTGTAAGAGTATCTGAGTTCACATTGTATCTTTTCATTAAGTGTAAGAATACAGAATACAGCTGCTCTAACGTCATCCTTCTCAGTGTATGTCTCTTTAAAAACACAGGTGTGTTTCACAGAGCAGAAGCATCACAGAAAAACAGAAACATCTTGAAACTCTCTTGTTTGTAGAAACGCTTCATACTCATTCATTTCTCTTCTTTCTAACAGCTGCAATTCTTAGTAGTTACTATTAAAACCAGATCAAATTGTCAGAAAAAAAATGCCAGACCTATTCACAGACAGAAACTAGAATTTCCTACACGCTTCCTTGTTTTGTGCTGGAAAATGGACAATCTTGCAAATGCCATGGTAGCAGATAGACAAGCTACCAAAAATACTACTGGGTAGCAGTATTTTCCAGGGCAGGAGCCCAGGAAAAGAAGATTCTGTTATGGGTTTCTCTTAAAAGAACACCCCAGGTAAAACCCATAAACACAAAAGTGTCTGCTTAGTGAAATACTACTTAGTAAAATAATTTGTATCTCACAAAAGGCTTAGCATGCTGAGAAAAAGAGGACTTATTTCAATATCAAGACAGCAGGAAATGGCATGGCTGTGTCCCTCTCCTTCAGCAGTGTTTTGGTATTGTGGTACTCAAGTCACATAAAACCTATCCTTCTGAATGTTTGGTTATAGCTAGCTGCATCTGAGTGGATTTAAACTACTTTAAATGCAAAGTCCATATTGTGCTTTGGGAATAAAATATTTCAAGTTACTTGAAGCAGATAAAAAAAAAAGTCCCAGAATTCCATGGGAAAAGCTCACAACTCCATTAGCACGATGCTGATGACATCCTTACCTGGCACTGGTATGTAACACAGGGATTGCTGGGGTGGTGCCATTTCATAGAGCTGTTGTATGTATTTCCTCCAAAACTGCAATCTAGAGGAAGACACAGAAGCACATCAGTTCAGCTGAACACAACGATGGCATAGGAGGCTGCTGCTGAAAATCACAGAGCAGCATCCTAAATGCAACCCATCCTCTCTCTCCTGGGTGAACAAAAGAGATGGAGCTTAGAGCTGGGACTGACAAGAAGGGTCATGTCCTGGGAGGGCTGGCAGCACCACCACCATCTGTTCTGATGCTTGACTGGCCAAACTCCTTACTATGACTATTCAAGGCAACGGAAAATTAGTGACAATTTACGCAAAAATGGTGCTTATTCTGCAGTCCATTCAGGAGCTCCTCTGCCACTCGTAGTGGAGCGGGGAGAGGAAGGAGAGAGGGCAAGAGAAGAGCTGGAAACATTCAGCATCCCAGCCTGGCCATGCTACCCTCATTCATTAATCAAACCCCTGGGAAGTGCTTTTCAGCCAGGGCAGCTCAGCATGGACAAACTGACATCAGCAGAGCTACCCCTCCTTTATACCTTTTCACTTCCATGACAGAAGGGATCAACATCCATACCAACTAAAAGTCATCAAGCTCTTCAGTGTGGGAAGTGGATCTCTGAGTGGGGCCATTTCAGAGTCCCACAGGGTTTGGCCTGACATGTCTTTCTGTGTTACATGACAACTTTGTTAACAGAAAATAGGCTGGCTTGCCTGTGGACAGGCTCAGCACACACTTCTTTGTGCAAAATGAAGCTTCATTGAGCCATTTGCTCAAAATAAAATACTTTCCTCACTTTTATTACATGTTCCTACTAGCTTCCCTTCCCACTCTTTCACTCTTTTCTGGTATTCTTCATAAAGGGAAACCCAAAAAGGAACACAAAGAAGAATAAAAGAGCTCAACAGAAAAGCACAACTAGAAAAGACATACTGAGTGGAATAAATATTTGTTTCAAAACAGTTTATGAATGCAAAGTTGTTTCAATTAAAAATTAATTCTTTGGAGACCAAAAGTGTTTCTGAAATAAATATAGAAATAAATAAATACAATTAGAAGCAACACATATGCTGTTTTCTGCAGGAAAAGTGCCCATTTTCCATTTTCTGCTCCAAAGGCTTTTTCCTAGTCTATTTTATCCAAAATGAGCTTGATCAAAGAGCCTGTGAAACCAAGAGGAGTCTTGCCAGAGACTTTGAAACACAGAGATCCACCAAGCACAAAACTACAGTCAGTCCAGTGATGCCCACAGCACCATCCTCTTCCTGCATGCCACCTCAGCAGCTACTCTAAGTCATTCTATTCTGTGTAGGGTGCACTGACCTGAACTGCTTTGGGCTCCATTTTATGCCCTTTTGAAAACTAAGGTGAGTTATCAGCAAAATAACTGTAAATATATAAAACATATTATAAAATATATATTATATATTTATATTCTTAATTTATATTTTTGATTTATTAAATATTTATTTATCATTTCTAAATATGAATATTTATAATATTTTAATAAAAGTATTAAATTCTTAATCTATATTTTTAATTTTAATTTTTCTTTTAACACATATATAATATATTATAAAATAACATCAGAAAAACTGTGTAAGAAAACTTGAGGGTCACAGTTCTGAGCTGCTGAGGAACTGAAAACCCCCACAAAATCCTTTTTGAATTCAACCCAAAAGTATATTTCTTTTTAGGTAGCAAAGCCCCAGTTTCAAATAACAGAAGAAATGTTCAGATTCACAGCATATTAAATACAGTTCTGTGGGAGCGCTCACACAGGCAAACCAACATTTCAAGAGAGATGCAGGAAGCCCTAAGCTCCTCTTATGTGTTTTGAAGTCCTGTTCTGAAAAACATCCAGCTAAAGTGCAGTCTCACTGCTCACTGCAAACCCGGATGAGTAGCAAAGCCTGTTCAAAATGGTTTAGCATCCTCAAGTTGCAGAAGCCCGAGCCATACTGATCCCAGTCTGAGAAAGAGTTTACATGTGTGCTGGACTCTCAAGATGGAACAAGCTGTGCTGTATGTGTGTGTATTCTACAAGATGGATCTGATACCTTCAGCACGGTGCAGAATCAAGGGCCAGGCTGGAAACTTGCAACTGCAAAATACCTTGCATATTTGTTCACCAATTATGTTCTTTAATTTAAAACATTTCCTCTGTCAGAAAGCTAATGACCCTGGGCTAATCTGCATGTACAGATGTGCACATTGAACTGAAATTTGCAGTCCAAGGATTAGTCTGGTCAAGAAAGCATGAAGGTGGTGCATCCGTGCAGTCACCACTGCTCTCACTTGCCAAGCTGTGCTACAAAATCCTCTGCCCTGCAGCACCAGCCATTGCCCCTGTGGAAAGCAGCAAGGGGGGAGCCAAACTCTGCCTGCCCACAAGCCCTTTCTGTTGCTGATATGTGGTGCTGGCAGCACTAAGGGAGGCACACCAGAAGTAACCGTAGCAGGGAGAGCTTAAATACCAGAATGGAACAGCCTGGAGAAGTATTGGAGACACTAAGATTGCTCTCAAGCTTTGGCACAGGCCAGCAGAGTAAGGGAGGCAGAGCAGCATCATGCAAGCACCAACACGAAGTACGGTGGGAGCAGGATTTCAAAAGACGCTCAGTGGAGGAAAACAGCACAAAGGGAGAGTTAGCCAGTAACACAAGCAGGCTTGGTGAGAGCTGGATGAAGACTGAATGTCAGGCAAACAGAAGAGAAGTAAAAAAGGAAGGGCTTTACAATTTCTGAGAGAGATGTACCCCAATGGCCCTTTGGACACCCCAGATCTACACCCACTTTTGTTCTTCAAAAGGAGAAAGAAACAAAGCCCACATCCTGGCTACTTTTTCTGAACCTTACTTTCAATGTACACATCTCTCAGCTGACACATGCAAACACAGACCCAGTTTCATAAACCACCTTCTCATAGCATGGAAGTTTATGAGCCTCACCTAATTTCAGCTGAGTGAAACCTGCCTCACAACATATGCCAGCTCAGTTGAGCCATTCCAGCTCACCCATGCTTAAAGGTCCACCATATTTGGCTTGGAAAGTAGCAATCACTGAAGTTTAACCATGCCAAGTGCAAGGTCCTACACCTGGGTCGGAGCAATCCCAGGCACAGCTACAGGTTGGGCAGAGAAGAGATTCAGAGCAGCCCTGCAGAGAAGGACTTGGGGCTGTTGGTTGATGAGAAAATGAACATGAGCTGGCTTCAGTGTGCACTCGCAGCCCAGAAAGCCAACCGTATCCTGGGCTGCATCAAAAGGAGCGTGACCAGCAGGTTGAAGGAGGTGATCCTGCCCCTCTACTCTGCTCTTGTGAGACCTCACCTGGAGTATTGTGTGCAGTTCTGGTGTCCTCAACATAAAAAGGACATGGAACTGTTGGAACAAGTCCAGAGGAGGGCCACGAGGGTGATCAGGGGACTGGAGCACCTCCTGTATGAAGACAGGCTGAGGAAGTTGGGGCTGTTCAGCCTGGAGAAGAGAAGGCTGCATGGAGACCTCATAGCAGCCTTCTAGTATCTGAAGGGGGCCTATAGGGATGCTGGAGAGGGACTCTTCATTAGGGACTGTAGTGATAGGACAAGGGGTAACGGGTTAAAACTTAAAACAGGGGAAGTTTAGATTGGATATAAGGAGGAAATTCTTTCCTGTTAGGGTGGTGAGGCACTGGAATGGGTTGCCCAGGGAGGTTGTGAATGCTCCATCCCTGGCAGTGTTCAAGACCAGGCTGGACGAGGCCTTGGCTGATAAGATTTAGCGTGAGGTGTCCCTGCCCACAGCAGGGGGTTGGAACTAGATGATCTTAAGGTCCTTTCCAGCCCTAACGATTATATGATTCTATGATCTCATGTCCAAAGGCATCAGCAAAGTCCCCGATGTCAATTTCTACAATAGAGCATGGCAAAACATACTTCAAGTTCCTAAAAGCCACTCTAATTCCCTTTGGAAATACTGTTATATTAACTCACTGTCTCCATCCACCATTTGAAAGGGAGAGCAAGAGAAAATAAATCAAGAAAGATCAGAGCTTAGCACAGTCACTTAAACACCATCCACTTACTCTGCCTGAATACATACTCACACCAAAACTTTAAAAGAAAGGGCTACAGAGGAGGTTTTCAAGAGCGGAAACCCCAAAAGCCTGAGAATGTTCTAAGGGGTACATGAAAATTCAACATTAATCGGTAAATTTGATCCCATGACATAGACCCCAGTATATGGTATCTCTTTAGGATTCCACATAGAGAAGGAAGTTAAATATCAATGGTCCATTTCAATTTTAATGGAGCTAAAGTGATTCATATTAGTCAAGGACTGTGTCCCAATTTTTTCCCTGATTCTTTCTTTTAAAATAGCTGGTGTTTTATTAACGTAAAATATTAACTTTCAGTTGGTTGTAGGTTTTGTTCCTATTACCTACTCCAACTCAAATAGCTCAGATAAGTCCTGGATAAACACGCAAGCTGAAAAGTTGCTTATCTGAATCAAACCAAACCACTGAATACTTTGAAGTCAGTCACTGTTGTATATGCAGTGGAAATTGCTAATGCCCTTCTAGTTACATCGTAGAAGCAAAATGATCTCTAGACTTGAGTCACTCCTGCACAAAAGAAAAAAAAAGATTATAAAATAGTTAAATCAATTCTGATTTTCTAATTTAGCTACTTTGTTTTAATGCTGTACATGCCTTACCCCAGCACCTAACTTTCAAACATGCTCTACCAACCTCTGGCTGCTTTAATTTGAAAGAGAGCAATTTAATCCAAACACAAGCATCCTCACACAGAACTGGACTGGACTAACAAAAGAGGCAAATTATAGTAGATTTTGTTATTGGCATGTAGACAAGCTAACAATCAGGAAGCCATTTGTCTTTCCAAATCCAGCAACATTGTTAAATGACCCTTATTTTGCCTTCCCCAGACACCCCAGCACAGAGGAGTATCATATGAAGATAGGGAAATGGACTGTAAGAGACAGTTTAGTAGTGCTAAAGCTCAGTCAGTGTCCTCAGCAGTTCATTAAAAACAAGCCTTTATT